GGCTATTTTTGTCCGAGACGGAAAAAGTACTCCTATTTGGGGTTTAAAAAACTAACTCCTATTTGTGTTCCATGCCATTTGATCCTATTTATGTCTTTCTCCCTTGTGTAAATTAGTTATCACATCTATCGGTAGAAATAATATAGACTGCCTTAATGGGTCAATGGGGTCTATCTCAAAGGTAGGAGTGTGTGGGATTTTGTCCCACGCAATCGTGACTCAATGTTCATGAAGAAATTGAGTCACATCCGAGACCAAATCAAGAGATGTTTTAACAACCTAAATGATACCATAATGGGTCTAAATGCTAGATCCGAGAATGGGAAACTAGTATCGGGTAAGATATATGAACTTTTGAGAACTAAAGGGACGGTTCGAGCTTGTATGAGTTTCATATGGAAATCTTATATCCCTCCCAAATTCTCGTTTAATGTTTGGCTTGCCTTGCGTAACAGGTTACCTACACAGGATAACCTCAGTTACTTGCATATTGTTAACCGATGTGACCTTTGTAAGGGTGGCTTGGAAACAATGCCACACCTCTTCTTTCTTTGTCCTTACACTTGTAGGGTTTGGGAGCATATTAAAGATTGGTTGGGATTAACAAGGGAGATGTCCACACTCAATAGCTCAGTCAAATGGATTTTGAAGAATCATAAAGGATCGAAGATCAAAGGGAAAGCTGCTCGTATTGCCTTTTGTGCCACGGTCTATTACCTTTGGCACGCTAGGAACGCCAACCGATTTGACGAAGCGGATGTGAAGGAGGAGGAGACCATTGCGAAAATCAAGCATGTGGTATATAAGATACTATTCAGTATATATCCACATGACTTGGTTAAATTTTGAAGAAGGCCAATGCATGGATATTTTGGATGCAGAGGTTTGAAGTTAATTGACACTGCCACATGGACACTTGTATGTCGCGGCATGGACCTTTTGGATGCCGCGGTTTGGACAATTCGGACACCGAGGCATGGACATCTTGGATGCCACGGCATGAGGTAGCGTCTTGGACGGGGGTGTTTGCTACCACCTTTGTATTTCTTTTAACTTTTGAACTTCTGCTCTAGTTGCTTACTTAAGTAGCACGGATGTATGTTTGATTTTTTGATTGGGCAAGTATTTATGCTTGGTCCTTTTGGTGTGGATTAGATCGAGAAAAAACCTCTCTTCACCCTCACATTATGTGGAGGTGGGGGGTTTTAGGAAATCTAGGACACTTGATGTATAATTTTTTCTGGGTATTAATATACATTTACATTTCATCCAAAAAAAATATAGACTGCCTTAAAAAAATTAGTTTTAATGTTCAGACTCTGAACATTAGTACTCCGTATCACATCCCACTTCAGAGTATGTATATAGTACTCCGTATTATATAGGGCCAGTGAGTTTCTTTGTACATGTAGTTTTTTTAATTTCCAAATCAAAGATGCTGCTATTCTCATAACTATATGTTTGTGATGGATGATTTGATTAATCTGAATATACTACTCCGTATGAGTTTTGACTTTTGAGAATAGCACAAAAGTATTTTTTTAATGATAAAATATGAAGTTGTCTCATCACTTTATCAGCTGATCACAGAAGAAAAACTATGAATACCACACTCCACAGTTTTTTATTGAAAAATGTACTTGCTGTGTTCTGAGTGTATGTAATAAAAATAAGAGATATTTAGGCTAAATCTAATTATGTTAGATAGATCAGAGTATGGTTACTACAATACGTAGAAACAGGGGTTACTCCTAAAACTGCAGAGCATATTTTTTAATAGAAAATAGTCCGCAGTCCAATTTATATACGTAAGTGATTGATACAAATATTCAAATCGGATTTCTGCTGAAATTCAGGTACAAAATGATAGCTCATTTTTTATTCTTAGTTTTTATCACAACAAGTATGGAAGAAAATAAATGTTAAATACAAGCATGGTTTTAAATTGCGGTTGCGGTCGCGGTTGCGGTCACTGCGGTTGCGGCCAATGCGGCCGTTGCGATGCGGATTGCGGCCACTGTGGCGTGAAATACTTTCATTTCCCACATAATAGCATTAAAATGATTTTTTAATTCAAAAGTACAATAGTGAATGAGAACTTCATTATGGGACGGAGGTAGTACATACTACTCGTATATGTTAATATAAGATTTATTAAAGAAAGCAAAAAAAAATCATTTTAATGCTATTATGTGCGAAATGAAAATACTTCACGCCACAGTGGCTGCAATCCGCATCGCAACGGCCGCATTGGCCGCAACCGCGACCGCAACCGCGACCGCAACCGCAATTTAAAACCATGATTTCGAGTGTTAAAATAAAATCTAATGAGTAGTACTCATCGTACAAACCGAAACATTATTAAACAAGATTGCAGATGGTGGCGGAAGATGAGCTGGTTTCATCACCAAAGAATGCATAAGTTTATGGAAGTGATCGAGATAGGAAAAGAAGGCGAGCAGGCTACGGAAGATCGATGAATGGACTTCATATGTGAAACCGTTATGATGAGCATTTAGTCGTTCATTATCATATGCATAGGAAATATAATGGGGCTGAGGCTAGACTGGCCTGTTTTGAGAACATATATGTTTTGTTTGGCCGATTAAGAAGAGATGTTGGGCTATGATGCTCAAAAATATAATAATTAGAAAAATACGAAGTACGTTGGAGCCTAGCATTAGTATAAGACTGCCAGTGGCGGAGCCAGGAGTTGATGTCAGTGGTGTCAATTTAGCAAAACAATATTATATAATAATGTGTACATATATAAATAAAAAAAGCAAATATTGTCATTATCTTCAAACTTTCCTTTTTCGTCCGTCCCAAAATTATCTCATTTTTCTCCTTTTGGAAAAGAATTTGTGGTTCACAACCATTCTTACACATTCTTACACATTTCTCTCTCTTCTGCACAACTCTCCACCACACAAAACTCACTATCTTAATTAGTGTGCCCAGCCGAAATGGGAGAAAAAACAGGGACGGAGGGAGTAGTAAAATTAAAGTACTAACTCACAACTGTCCCCGATGCGTTTTCATATTTTGAAAACGTTGTACAATTTTTTCTTTGTCAACACTTTTGAATATATCTTTTTCAATAAAAGTAATTAAGACATCATTCATCATAGCATCCCCCATTCGATTGGGCAACCTGTTCTTCACGGACTTCATGGCTGAGAAGGCTTTTTCCACAGTTGCGGTGGCCACCGGTAAAAGCAAAGCTAGTTTCACAAGTAAAAAACTAATGGATACACAATATGTTTCTTTGTCTCCACCAATTTTTGAGCAAGAAGACAAGTGGAGCGACCTGCGAACGCCGACCGAGGGTTTCCGATTTCAGCGATTTGGGAATTAGGACTACGACTTACAGCGTTCAATCGTTTTTTTCTTTTTGCAGCGGGAGTTGGCGTTCAATCAGCCATTTGGGCATAGACTTTTCAATTCTCCTTGACTCCTTTGTTGACTTTTCAATTTGGTGTTCCAACTTTTAAAATTTTGAAATTGACCCCCATTTTTTAAAATGTTGGATGGTGTCAATTTATAATTTATGAAAGATTATCTATACCTATATAGAGAATTTTTATTTTTCAGTGGTGTCAATTATAAATTTTTAAATTTTTTTTATATACCTACATATGGAAAAAAAATTCCAGTGGTGTCAATTGACACCACTGGCCAAAGGGTGGCTCCGCCACTGAAGACTGCAATATGTAGATTTGGGTGATTAAATGAGCTATTGTATGGTTTCTTCACCCATGCATGCTAACGTTTATACTTTATTCAGTTTTTTTTAATACAGAGAATATCAATCGGGGAAATCATAAACACTAATGAGTTGGTGATAATGCTTTGTTTATGACTCCAAAATGAATTTTTGGTATTGGATAAGTAATTTTTAAAATTGTTAGTCGCAAAAGTGTTATTTGTAGTTTTCACTTATGGTGGTTTGTTTTGTCTAAAATTTATTCAATGTTTAAAGGGGAGAAAAATTTATTTATATTAAAATGTTTTTACTATGATTATTAAAAGAGTATTCTCCAATGATAATAATAAATTTATTTTTATTTATACTTAATGAATATTTATGGATATCTTCATTTGAGTAGAGGGAACTCATCATGGGTGGAGCTAGGGGAGGGCCATCCCTGGCCCTGGCCCAGCCCAAATTTTAAAAATGCCTGTATTTTTAGTGTAAAAAATTCTGTGTAAAAAAATTTTCAAAAATATTCTTTGTACCAGCCCAGTACGGCCCAGTGCCCTAGCTCCGCCCCTGGAACTCATAGTTGTATACGAAGTACTAGATAAGTATTTTGAAAGAAATTCTTCAAAATAATATTTTGAAAGAAATAAACAAAAAGAGTAAAGTAGATAAGTTTAGATTCCTCATCGCAAATCATCATCCATTTGTCTTTCGAATAGCAGTCCCAAAAATTATCAAGCTATTTAGTCAGATTTACAGTGACCACCGAATCAAATTTATTTTAGAAAACATTTATTCCAATTGGGTCCAACTCACGCAGATTTCCTCAAAATTGAAATGAAGTTTAGAGTTATAGAAGAAAGGACTCAAAGGAGATGGGAAAAAATTGGCTTTTGGATAAATTTTCAAATTCCTTAATTTGAAATAATGCAGTTTTATGCTTTCTTTATCTTTAGCAATATATGTGAATATATTGTTATGATATGTGTTTTTTGCCTTTTCCTTATATAAATGAGAATGAGAATTATTATACTCAATTTGAAAAGGACACAACTTCCGTAATACAGCTGGATTATAATTTTAATTTTTGGTATCACCTTTTCAATTTGCACATTATTGTTTGAATTAATACATGGATTATATATTTTGACCGCGCATCGCACGGGTGAAATACTAGTTTTCTTGAATAGATTACGGAATTTTTTATCCTAAAGAAAAAACTAAGGATGTTTTTACTTGAACGGTAATTTGCTGGTCTGATCTAATAATTGTCTAGTCTATGTGTATTTTATAACTATAAAAGTCTGATCTGTATTTTATCATCAAAACAAGCATCTATTCATATCAAAAGATCCGGGATCGTTACATCAGACAAAGGGAAAATAAAACTGACACCATCTGAACTCCAACAACTACGACTGTAAACTCTATGATCAGACTTTGAGACGGTCACCCCTGAAAGAGCAACACGAATCGCTAACCATGTAGTGGACTTGACACAGCCAAAACTATTCCCATAGATCCAACCATACCCAATGACATAACGAGAGGCTAAAAACTCAAACAAACTGTCAAAACCAACAACAAAGATGAACACCAGAAAACAAAAGACAAACAGATTAAAATTAATAGGAAAACTTTCACGGACTCTAGCACTTTGTACAACCCATGGTGGTGGTTCAGGCGGAGGTCGGACTGTCGCTCGATTGATACCCTCTCTCAGTAACGTATCCGCCGTATGACCCAAAACCATGCCATCAGATGGAGCGTTTAACCTCTGCACGCTAATCATGTCTTGATCATCCCTACGTCTCTCTCCCGCTTCTTCCACTATCTTCTCGCTGTCACGATCATCCATCCCGAGTTGCGTCAAAATCACGGCAATCCGACGCAGAGCTGCGTCGATTGAAAGAAACGCCGCACCAGGGCGGCGAAACACAAACCCTACGCGAGAGCACTCGTTAGGGAAAAACTTTTGGAAACCTGATTCGATGCTCCTAGAACCAGAGTCTAGTCTAGAATTGAAAACCGTCCTAACCCATAAACCCAAATGAGAAGTTGGTTGACAATTGCTTTGATAATTTAGGGTGTGATTATTTTTTGAGAAACCACATTGATCGTTCTTATACATCTCGCAAAAAAATCAACAATCGAAATCATGCTAGATAAACAGAGCATGGTGGGGAGCTATATCCCATACTTGAGGTTTGAATTAGAACTCAAATTAAGTTCAACCGGTCAATCATTCAAGCATTATCAATTAAACCTGCCGTGCTGTTTTTCAAGTGTCTTCGTAATCCAACCGATCTTATTCTAACATGAAGAGTTTTTATGCGGTTCATCCTATCAGCAGAGATAGCAATCTTGGCTGAACAGAAAGCTAGGATATTAAATTTCATGAAATAGATCGAATACACAAGGGGAATTACTGTCTGTTATAAGGACTATATATGTGATGGAATTCGAAGAATCAATCTCAGACTATAGCTAGGAATTGCCTTTCCAGAAAATCTATAAGAAGGGCTCAAAGCTTTTGAGTTTTGACAGCTACGAAACTTTCTTTGACTCTTCCAAATCCTTCAATTCACCCAAATCCATTGAACCGCACCTAAACGCAGTAACCACACCGGCGGCATTATGAATTTTGAAGGGTATTTAATTTCAGGTAAACGTTCGGTTTAAAATCTAATTATTTAGATGTCGGATCCTTATAGGTAATAATAAGATTTGGCAAGGGTGGTCTTACCTATCCCTCTTCAAATTGAAATTGAAAAGTCCAAATTCAATTTGAAAAGTGATAGGTAAGATACCTTTGCCAAATAATATCATTACTACATATCCTTCATTTTTTTAGCTAATCACATATACTAGGGAGGACAATTGTTACTAATCCGATGTATATGAGCCTGTGATCTGAGGTGTAGAATATGTGTTTTATTTTTACTGAGTGACATGGTGGTTACGGTTTTATACATACATACCCACCCCGTTTATTCTTAATTATATTTTTTATTACATTCTTTTTATTATTTGTCCCCATATACTAGGGAGGACAATTGTTACTAATCCGATGTATATGAGCATGTGATCTGAGGTGTAGAATATGTGTTTTATTTTTACTGAGTGACATGGTGGTTATGGTTTTATACATACATACCCACCCTGTTTATTTTTAATTATATTTTTTATTACATTCTTTTTATTATTTGTCCCACAATTAATAAAGATGATATTTTTCTCTTCCCATTGTGTATATGTGGATGTACTAACTGAAAGTTCATAATAGATTTAAATAGTCTCATTTGGTTATTATCATATTTTTCTTGACTAATTATTTTTCAATGTAAGTATTTTTAGATTCAAATTAATTTAGACCGCCTTCTTTCTTGTGTTGTAGATGCACGGAACTTTTAGGCGATGTCACTTTTTTGTCTTTTGAAATAATAATTTTTATATTAAAATATCAATGACTCAGTTAATAAAATGGTTACCCACAGTTATAACAGTTACACGTTGAGTCATTTATGATTTGAATAAAAATTACATGTTGCGTAATAGGACGTTTATAGGAAGGGGAAGTTACCAAATGGGGCGGGTAAACAGTCCAATAGAATGCAACACGCGTGGACGAACCCTAAGAGCCTGGTGGTGGCCTTGCTTCTCCTTTCTCTTCCGATTAATTATTGTCGAAGAGAAGGAATGGATTAATGATTTGCCGCAATAGAAACTCAACTTTGCTTATTGTGTTCGGATCCCTGGCGGAATTCATACGACATCCGATGGCATCTATTCGATCTGTGAATATTACTCCGTATTTATTAGGTGAGGTCTTCATATTTCTTTGTGGGCAGGATATTTTCGTTTGGTTTGGTACATACTGGCAGTCTAAAAAATACGGCACTCATAGTTGTAAATTATGGCAGTATCACATAGAAAATAAATGGCACTTATAATTGTATAAAAGCACATGACACTTATTAATAATTTAATACTCTGTAACACTTATTGAAAATTACGGCACTATCATGTGAAACTATGGCATTACTTGATAAAAAATTATATTTTAAAATTAAAAATGTAAAAAATGAGAATACAAAGAAAAATTAAAACTCAAAAGTAACATTGTCATCGAAGTAATTTTCATCTTTATAAATGTTTTATGACATTGTTTGCCAAACATATGTAATAACTTGACACTATAAATATAATGTCATAAAATGGCATTGACTTCAAATCAATGTTAAAAAAGTTGATTTGACTTATAAAATTTCCAGATGTAAATTGATTGATTTAATATTTTAAAATAATGTAATCAAAATGAATAGAATAAAACTTTCAAAATAAATAAAAAATAAAGATAAAATACAAGCAATTCTTTTCAATTAGTGGGCGATTGTCCATTTAAAAAGAAGAACTAAAAGGAGAAGCAGAAGGTCAAGTAAAAGTGATGGAGTATATGGCCCAAGAACCCCGACCCATAAACTCCTACTTCTCCTACAAAGGCCCGTTAAGCTCAGGGAACATCTCAGGCCCAAAAGATGCGGCCCAAGCCTTAAAGGAACCCAGAACACACGATGGGGTGCCTTCGGCCTCCTTGGCCGAAGGGTCCAAATTACACAGGGCAGCCAGTTTTGAACATACGAAGCTACTAGGAGAAAACGGCGAAAAACATGAGCCTTCGGCACTATCAAGCCCTCGGCATCACACGAGGACCTCGGCTGAACCAAGCCTTCGGTCACACAAGGCTTTCGGCTACACAGGGGTCCTTGGTCACATGGAGCCCTCGGCTACACAAGAGCCTTCGGCCAAACATGCTCAATCATCGAAGATTCCTTTTGGAGACAGCCAACCACCGCATTTGTTGCCGCGTCACATCCGCCAACCGCATTCAATGCGGTGAACGTACCACTGCTGGTGCCACCCGGTTGATGTGACCCCTCGGCCGTTGGATTACTGACATGTGTACTCTCATCGCATTTATTGCTGCTATAAATAGCAGCCCTTATTCTCCTTGTAAACCACGCTGAGTTCATTTAATAAATTGACTCTCTCTCCTCCTATCTTGCTCTGACTTCTCTCTAGTTATTCCCGCAATAACCCCTCGGATAAGATACCCCCCGGGTAGACTATCCATCATTTGGTGCTCTCGTTGAGAGGTCAGAACAATCAAGTAAGAAACCCTCTCCCTCTACCAAACTCAAAACACCTATAAAAAATGGGGAGAACAACTCGTGCCCAATCCAAAACCCTTGAGGAGAACCACGTAGCCCCCGCCAAAACCAACGGGGCTGAGGCCTCCAACAGGCTCTTAGTACCCGAGGGTGGTATCATCCTCGAGTTAGAGCAGGCTACTGCTGACCTCCGTCAGCAGCTACAGAAGAACGCCCCCGATGCCCGCATTGGCCTTGATAATCGAAGGAGGGATCGGAGTGAGAACCAAGTTCCCCCTCCGGCCCCGGCCATCGATCTTCAGGCTGCCTTTGCGGCCTTTGTTCAAAACATGGCTCTCAATTCCGGAGCCCTCGTCTCTCAAACACCCCTTCAGCCCTATGCTGGAGGAAATGTTATCCAACTGCCACCACTCCCTCCTTTGTTCAACAATCCTCCTCCGGGGATTGGCAACGCCGAGGGGGTCGTGGCGCAGGATACCGCCTCCCAGGAGGCCCAATCCAGGGATAGGCGCCCCATGATGAAGGAGAAACCCCGGACCTTTGCACTTGAGAGGTTAGGGGGAGCTCCCGGGCACCGAGGGGTCCAAGACCGCCTCGGCAAACAGGAATTCAGCAGGCCTCAGGAGAGTGGAGCCTCCGCTTCAGGAGCCGAGGGCATGCCTCCGCCCCGGAGCAAAGGCAAAGCCCTCCTCCACGCCGATGACGCCAGGCACCAAATCAATCAGGCGCAATCCTTCCGGGCCAACTCCCAAGGGGTTGCCCCGAAGGATCCCAAGGACGAGATCATCGAAGCCCTCCTCCGTCAGCTTGAGGAGAATCGTCAGGCACCCCCGACGGCATCCACGGCGAGACCGGATCCGGAGTACGCTGACCTCCGGGCACAAGTGGAAGAAATGAAGCGTAAACTTGCCGAAGGGTCCGGCGAGCCCCTCATTCAGCTACGCACTAGGACGCCTTTCACCCCAAGGGTGCTGGCGGCCAAGATCCCCCATAAATACCGGGGGCAGCCCATCAAACCATACGAGGGGAAGACGGATCCCCAAGAACATTATAGCCGTTATCAAAATAGCATGATGATGATGGGGGCCTCAGATAAATACTTATGTCGTTGGTTCCTTTCCACCTTGGAGGGACCAGCGTATGAGTGGTTCAACCGGTTGCCCGAAGGCAGCATTGATTCTTGGCAAGAACTTGCCCACCGCTTCCTTACACAGTTCGCTGGGAGGCATCGCTCAAAGAAACACTTCTCTCACCTTCTGAATGTAAGGCAACAGAAGGAGGAAACCCTGCGGAGTTTCCTGGAACGCTGGAGGCAAGCCTCCCTTGAGGTCGAGGGCGCCGATGACAGAACCCTGATGGCCCTCTTCCACACCGTCCTCCGCAACGGTAACTTCTCTCGGAGCCTTATCACTGATCCCCCCCCGCGATTATACAAAAGCCCTTCAGCGGGGGGACCGATACGCCGAAGCAGAAGAGATCGAGAAGGACCGCCGCAACACGGATCCTTCTCAGAAGAATGAAGGTAGGAATCGGCCCGGAGGGCCTCCCCCTCCGGCCAACCGCGAGGCACAGTACAACGATCGCCCCCGAGGTGGCCAAGCCAGACCAGGGGGCGGTTACAAGAACAACCCGAAGGCATGGGCGCAACCTGTCCTCCTTGAGCACCCACGCACCCCCCTGACACATCCCGTCAGCGTCATTTTGGATCATGCAGAAGAGCGAGGGCTCGTGGAGCGAGACTCCCGTACACCCCTCGAGATTTATGCCATGGGCCCTGATGAGCCCTATTGCCGCTTTCACCGCCACCATGGACACAAGACCGATGACTGTCACCAACTGAAGACGGCCATCGAGAGGCTGATACAGGCGGGCCACCTGTCCCAGTTTATCAGGGGGGGCCCTCCCCAGGGTCCCCTCCATCATCAAGGAACTCCTCCGAAGGCGAATAAGTGGGTGAACCCCAACACCATCCCCTCGAGAAACCCACAGGGGAAGAAGCGTGAAATTGGGGGCCTCGATGACGAGGGAGAGGGCTCCCACCAACAATACAAGCGCCATATCCACATGATTAATGGCGGCAACACTGGCGGAGACTCCACCAGCCAGCGAAAGAAATGGGCACAATCCCTTTACATTGGAGAGGTCAACCACACGCCCTCAACTAAGAAGCTGAGGGGGGAACCCATCTTCTTCACAGATGCGGACCTCCCCTCGGGATCTCTGCCACATAGGGATGCCCTCGTCATCCGCACTGAGATCAATGACGCCATCATCCTCCGGACTTACGTTGACACGGGGAGTTCTGTCAACGTCATGTACCTTAGTACTTTTCAAGAGTTGGGACTCGACAGAGGGTCCCTTCGGCACATTAACACCCCCCTCTCCGGATTTACGGGAGACAGCATAGACGCCGAGGGCGTCATCACCCTCATGGTTGAATTCGGCGACGGATCCCATAGAGCCAAGCTCGAAGTGGAATTCGTCGTCGTCAACCTCGACTGCGCACACAACATCATCCTCGGCCGGCCCGCCCTCGAAGACCTGGAGGCCGTCATCTCCATGAGGCATCTCTGTCTCAAATTCCCCACGCCTACCGGCATCGGTTACTCGAGGGGGAATCAGAAACTCTCCAGGGCCTGCTACCTTCAACTCACCAAGAAGGTTAGTAAAACTGAATTTCGTGTTGACACCATCACCACCAAAGCCTTGGAGGAAGAAGAAGGCAGGTCGAGGGCTGAACCCGCCGAGGAGACCGAAGACTTGATACTCGATCTGGCCAAGCCGGAGAGAGTCCTGAAGATTGGAGCCAAGCTCCCCGAAGACCTGAAGGCTGGCATCACCAAAGCCCTCCGCGCCTACCCCATTGTTTTTGCATGGGGGCCGGAGGATATGCCAGGAATTGACCGAAGGGTCATCACCCACCGCCTTGCGGTGGACCCTTCGGCCAAACCAATACAGCAGCGGAGAAGACCCCTCTCGGCCGAGAGAAGGGAATTCGTGAAAAAGGAAGTATCCATGCTCCTCTCTATCAAACACATCAAGGAGGTGAAATACCCTTCTTGGCTGGCAAACGTGGTCCTCGCGCAGAAGCCTCCTACCTTCCGCATGTGCGTAGATTACATGGACTTGAATAAGGCGTGCCCTATGGACCCCTTCCCTTTGCCAAACATTGACCAACTGGTGGATGAGACCGCGGGATGCGAGATCATGTCATTCCTCAACGCATTCCGCGGATATCATCAGATCTATATGCATGAGGAGGACGCTAAAAAAACTGCCTTCATGACACCCGAAGGCATCTTTTGCTATCTCGTGATGGCCTTCGGCCTCAAGAATTCATGCGCCACCTACACACGCATGGTGGCTAGGGTCTTTCAAGCTGTCCTAGGACGCACCATGGAGGCTTACGTTGACGACGTGATCGTCAAAAGTAAGAAGGCAAGCACTCACGCCGAAGGCCTCCGGGAAATCTTCGCCATCATGCAAAAATTCAATCTCCGGCTAAACCCGAAGAAGTGCACCTTCGGCGTACAAGGAGGGAAATTCTTAGGCTACATGGTCAGCCGAAGGGGTATTGAGGCCAACCCCGAAAAAATTCAGGCCATCATCAACATGGAGCCCCCACGCAACGTCAAAGAAGTTCAACGGTTGACGGGTCGCCTGGCAGCCCTCAACCGTTTCCTCTCCAAA